AGCCCCTAGTAGCATCCTTGCTCCTAGTAGCGATGCCCTTTGCTCCTTGTAGCATCCTTGCTCCTAGTAGCGATGCCATTTGCTCCTAGTAGTGTCCTTGTTCCTAGTAGCGATGCCCTTTCCTCCTAGTAGTAAGGCCAGGAGCCCCTAGTAGCATCCTTGCTCCTAGTAGCGATGCCCTTTGCTCCTAGTAGCATCCTTGCTCCAAGTAGCGATGCCCTTTGCTCCTAGTAGTAAGGCCGGGAGCCCCTAGTAGCAACCTTGCTCCTAGTAGCGATGCCCTTTGCTCCTAGTAGCATCCTTGCTCCTAGTAGCGATGCCCTTTGCTCCAAGTAGTAAGGCCAGGAGCCCCTAGTAGCATCCTTGCTCCTAGTAGCGATGCCCTTTGCTCCTAGTAGCATCCTTGCTCCCAGTAGCGATGCCCTTTGCTCCTAGTAGCGTCCTTGCTCCTAGTAGCGATGCCCTTTGCTCCTAGTAGTAACGCCAGGAGCCCCTAGTAGCATCCTTGCTCCTAGTAGCGATGCCCTTTGCTCCTAGTAGCATCCTTGCTCCTAGTAGCGATGCCCTTTGCTCCTAGTAGTAAGGCCAGGAGCCCCTAGTGCATCCTTGCTCCTAGTAGCGATGCCCTTTGCTCCTAGTAGCGATGCCCTTTGCTCCTAGTAGCGTCCGGCATGGATCGTCTTGAATGAAGCTTATCAACACTGCTCTCCTAGTGTCCTACCTCTTGGCGGCCCTGTCAAGATGTGCCAAAACTGAGAGCGAAGCCAAGCGCTCAATAGACTTCAAACGGCGCTGGCCGTCCTTAGTGCGCTTGGATCCAACAACGACCGATAGTGTCCAAGCGCTGGTTGCTCTGCCCGTTTCAATCTTGGCCTCAAGCGTAACCGCCGTGCACGTACACATGCCCAGGATATACAGATCGAAGCAGGGGCAACCTGAAACATAGCAGAGCAACTCTGCATCAACTAGATCTAATGGTAAAATGACTGACTCTACTGAGTATCCGACACCTCCCTCATTGGGCGGCGAACAGCCTTGTCAAAGGTTGTCGGTGTCTACTCTCAGCGGAACTCTGCTTTGGAGCTCTTTGTGCAACAGCCTTGCCCCCCCAAAGGTGCCTTGTTGCAAGCAGAAAACTCAAGCACCTGGCAATTGGACATTTAAGAATGCGGTGAGGGGGCATGTCATTGAAGGCAAGAACCAGTCCTGCCTCCACTATGCCAGAGTAGATGCCAATGCCAAATGCAAGTCCGCTGCTTACAACCACATCGGTCTGGCGAGACTCAATTTGGAGGCAAAGCAATCTCTCCAAATCGCTCGCTCAACATCTTTTGAATTCAACGTACAATTCCAAGCCAACTCCGCACCATCTGCGCAGCTCGTTCCCAGGGATGTGCGGCTTTCATCCGCTCGAAGCGCCGATGGTGGAGCTTGGCCAGAAAACGAGCCTAGGGTCTGCCGTCTTCTTCTTACATCAAGAAAGGTATCTTGGATCTCGGAATATAATGTGTATATATATGATATATGTATACATACATATTCATTCACTGCGCATTGAAAGGAAAGAGCTCTTGTCCTTGATCCGCACGTCTTGATCCACACTCTTTTGGGCAGCCAATCTTCCACGGTCGCCAAGATGTCTGTGAAACACTTCCCGGTGGTCACCTCTCGAGCTGTCTCCAGGCACCAGCGGCTCATTGGACTGTCATCGAGCTCCATGAACCAGCCTTGGACGGTGTGTTGCAAAACCGTATACCTTCTTGCTACTAATAGTAATGCCAGGAGCTACTAGTAGCTTCTTGCACAAATTACGCCAGCACAAACACCAGCAACACCAACCCAAGCTCCAAAGCACACGGCCATGGCAAACACCCTCGAGGAAACCCTGCAGCGGCACCAGCACGCAGCGCACACGGCCATACACGTCCGGAACAGCAGTCTAGCGGACCCTGCAGCGGCACCCAGGCTCCAAAGCGCACACAGGCACCTCTTCCTATACTTGAGGTAAGTTCCGCTCCCCTCTAAGTCCCGAACACATACAGTACTTGGGCTTCATGGGCTGGATCAAGCCTTCTTCCACCACTGAAGCTGCATCCCGAAGCTCCTCGACTTCAGCACATCTCAACTTGTTGGGTGAATGGGATGATTTTCTGTTTTGAGATGGTGCCAGGGCAAGCTATGGTTGCCAAAATGGTACAGAAGGGGTCCAAACACAAATATTGTATAATAGTATATACTCATTGACCCCAATCGAAGGCATTTGATGCACAAATGTTCCGCTCCGCAGGGTCGACCAAGCTTTTTGCGCCAGCTTCTTCACACCGATTGTGGTCACTTTGACAACTTTGATTCGTCGGTTCCTGACGAATCGCTTGAATTTGCAACCTTGAGGAAATCCTTAAATGTCTCATCCTGCTCACGAATGTCGGAATCCAGCAGAGCCTCCACAAGCACATTTCCAGCATAAACAAGTGCATCGCTTCTAGTAACAAGTGCCTTACTAGTAGTAACAAGGACGCTACTAGGAACAAGTGCATCGCTACTAGTTGCAAGGTTTGCTACTAGAGAAAAGGTCGATGGAACCAACCGATTCAGCTCCACCCTTTCGGTGCTGAGTGCTAGGGTCTCTAATAGCTTCTTGTTACTAGTAGTAAGGCACTTGTTACTAGTAGCGATGCACTTGTTCCTAGTGGGTCCTGCCTTGTTGAGGGTCATCACATCGGCAACAGAGACCTGGTCTCGCTCCAGGAGTGCTCCAATGGTCGAGTAGCGGCAATTCACCTGGCGTGAATTAGTATGGCTCAGTGCTAAATAAAGAAGAAAGCGCTGCAGTAGAAGGAAGAAACCACTTGCAAACTTTGTCCAGTTTATAGCCTTTAGCATCCTGTCACAGTGCCTCGATACTGGAGTCGAGCAAATAGCCGTTGCTGGGGCACTCGTCCACCTGCTTGGAAATCTCCCCGGAGATGTCAACAGGCCCAAGGCGGAGGGCCTCTCCAATCTTCAAAATCTGCAGAGTGGCAACAGCGTTTTCATTTCATTTTCAAATTAAAAAGTCGTGGAAATTTGGTGTATTGCAAAACACAGATCCTTGACTAGGCTGCCTCTGTAATGTCAAAGTCCTTCACTGCATGAAGTCGGATCTCCTATCATTTCGGGTGCAGTGACAAATAAGTTCAAATCCAGAAGAACGTGTTGGGCACGGTTCGAATCACTCCTCTTTCTTCAAAGGGTGTCCATCATAGGCACTTCGACAAGGATTCTTGCCAGGCTTTGCCTTGTCGAGCACCTCTACAGCACGCACTGAACAGGATTATGTTTATTACGTATGTTCTTCGGCCACCCTGAAAATGCTCTTGTATAAACGCATCGCTCTTGTTGGCAGCAGAAACAAAAAAGAAGAAGGATGGGCCAGGATGGGTAGGGCTTTTCCCAGTTCTTCAACACCAAACACACCGAACACACCAAATGCCTTGCAAGACTTCCCCAGGCTGGCTCAACCCGCTGCCTCATGCCCACCCACTTTAATCGTGACAAACTCAACGGCTCCATCTTTGTTGTCGAAATCCGTCTGGTTTAGCCAGAGTTGCAGCAAGCACCTGATCAAAAGTAAAGCAACTTCGAAGAGTTATGCAGCTATGCAATGCTATGCAGCTTGGAAAAATCTGTGGAAAAAAAAAGATAGAAGAACTCCCACATGGCATGGCACCTGTCAAGGGACACCAGGGTCCGGTTGAAGTCAAGAACCAGATTGCTCTTGCAGCCTTTCTCGGCACAGCGTAAGGCTCCCGTTGTGACCAAAGCTGCTGGGAGTACCCCCCCAAGCTCCTCCTCCTCACCACCATTCAAGCCATTCAAGCCATTGAAGCCATTCGAGCCATTATGCCTGAAGGGCAGAGGTGCAAAACCTACTGGTTCTGCCTTGTGATTGAGCGAACTCATGTTGTAGATGGAGTCGTAACCTGGCATGTCCTTGATGCTCTGACCAGGGTGTTCCGCCAGCCATTTCCGGACAAAGTCTGGATACTTCTCGAGGGAGTCTGCAGACAGCCAATGAGTGGTTGTTGTAGTCGTTGTTCCTGTCGAAGTAGGAGTGGTAAGGTCCGCCAGCAAGCCAACATAGCAAGCCACTGACGTCACACCGTGCAACAAATTCCCATGAAAGGGGCATTCATCCACATTGCGTGGAATTTGTGCACTCACTTTGAGTTTCCCGTCTTCGTTCAGAATGGTGCTCACTGGTTCCTTGTAGATGCAGGAGTACAGGAGTTCGCTGGATTCCGGAGAAACACAGCCATTCACTGCAGGATAACAATCATGTCCTAACGCTCGGCCGTTCCCCATGAAGTTCATCACTCGTTCGCCCTCAAAGTTGTCATCGAAATCGGTGGCATGAACCGCCAAGCTCAAGTTGCAGTCTCGAACATATTCCTGGAAAGGCCATTTGGGCCATGAGGAAATGAGGTGCACACCTTCTCTTACATCAACTTACATCTCAATCAACTTCAAGTGCCTAATGGGTCATCATGAGACCAGTCAGTGGACAGTCCTCTTGAGGATTGTAGATATGCAGCATTACGTCGGCCGCGCAGCCGGGCTGTTCACAGGTCAAGTTTCCTTCTACTTCACGCCGAACGGGCCCGGGGGAAGACGGGGTGGACGGAGAATTGGAATTGTTCGCCAAGAAGTTTTTTGTGCCTTTGGGGCCATGGCGGTGCTCTCTCTTGTCTTGCTCCAACGACTCCTTCAGATTCACAACAAACGACACTGGAAAGAACAGAAGAGAAAAAGAAACAAAAAAAGATAAGACGAGAGCACATGAACAATACATGAACACATGAACAATACAGACCATGAGAAACCCTTCGAAAGAACAACAGCACGTCAAAAACAGCATGTCAAACATTAGTCCTTTGGGATCTTCACCGCGTTGCTCGGCTTCAAAAAGATCTGCTGAGGGGCCCGTGGTGGCAACATCTCCTCATCCACCTGCTCGAGTCGCTCGAGCTTTCAAAGACTCCGGCGCTTTGTCTTGAAATCGCTTTCTTTGGCGAAAAAAGGAGAGCCAAAAACGCCAACACAGGCAAACTCGCAGCGAACTGAGGTCCGTGCTGGATGAGTGCTGAGGGCTTGAAACCATTCTGCATTGTGAGGAGTTCCCAGATCCAAGTTGGTCCTCCCAAAATCCCAGTTGGCAAACCGAGCAGCTTGGATCAGTTCCCCCCAACTGCAGCTACAGCTACAGCCAAAGAGACCGCCTTCGGAGCTGTCCCTGCGAGCGTTGAACGGTTGCCCAAATACATGGGAGCTGCAAAAGTAACTGCAGCGCAGCCCAGGCCATGGGTTCTCACCTACAAAATTCAAGCATCAATGTCACAGTTGGGCAATCTCAGGCATCATCACAGGCCTGGGAAGAGGTTCAATACCAGAACGAAAGGAAGGCATCATGAACATTCGAGCCGAAACCCTGCTAGACCCAGGTAAGGTACAACTGTTCGAGAACGAGCTGAGTTCACCAAATACATCTTCCTCAGCCTCACTGACAGTCCTTCTCCTGCGATAGCTGCTTTCTCAGCGTGTCGTAGGCTTCACGTGCCTTTTCCTTATCTTCATGACCTAAGTCTTGGAAAAGGAGGGATCCTACAGTCTCATGCGATCCTACACCGAATCCACAAAACTGAGGGACTCCACCCCACAAACGAGCTGACAATGTCGGCATAGCCAGTGCCCTGAAGTGGAAGTGGCAAAATGGACATCGTGGTGACTTGGCAAAAGTGGCAACCATGGCTCTTAGGTTGAAGGCCATCGCTATCCATCGCTTCTAGGTCGGAGGCCATTGCTATTAGGTTGAAGGCTGGCAAAAGTCTGTGTCGTTCCGCTTCCTCTCGCCAAGAAGCCGTTCCACTGTCGGTGTTCGCTCCAGAGTGAATGCACCTTGGGAGGGCGCATAAGGAGTCTTTTTCGCGCAGTGTGGCCAGGCACAACACGAAACGGGAATCCAAACAGGCAACAGGAAGGCAAACCAAGGACAAAAGCCAATACTGCGCAGCTGGGCTACGCCGAAGGGCATCCTCGGACATACACCAGGCTGCCGGCAAGGGTGATTCAGGCAGTACATAATAATCGGAGAAGTCCATGAAGTGTGTACAAGTTGCATCCACCTAGGCAGGGTAAACGCAGTTTTACACAGTAGATGCTCTGAGATGCATCGTGCTGCATGCTAAGGCAGCTCTCGCACTCTCAAGAGGCTTCCTTAAATATATAGAAAGAAAGAAACGGATCTTGCAGCTTGAGAGCTTGAAGATTCCAAATTCCCGTTTGATCCTCAAGCATCGTCTCCACGTCCTCATGCCAGAGTGCTCGTGGCTCAAATTCTGCAGAGACTCCCCAACCTTGCGAGCTTCGGCTGAGACGAAGCGAAGAGATACGGAACGACCACCCGCGCTGA